TCCCCCTCCCCCTCCCTTCCTCCCCTGTTTTTAAAGGGTCTATCAAAGTCAGATTACACAAGAAGCTTTACTTGTAAGTTAAGTTACTTTAATATCTAGTTATCTGGGGTGTGCGATAGACTTACATCCTCGTAGTGCACCCTGGGCAACGTTTACTCATACGGCAAAAAAGTCAATCAACTGGCAGTTGACTTCTGACTTCAAACTACCATCACCCCACTATATGCCATATTCGACCCCTTACACAGTACTCATCTTACCTTTTATATGCCTTTTTGTCTGTTTTTCTGTCTCTGTTACATCTGTGAATCACTCTTCTGTTCCCCCTCTCGACATTTTGTCACTTTGATGTTCCTCCTCCTCTCTGTGATGTCCGAAGGGCCAATGATAACCATCAAAACGCCTGCCATTTGAAATAAACAAATGAATATCTATTTATCCATTTTGGGGGTTCTCAATAAACGCTTAAAAATTAGGGTGTTTGGGGAGAGGTATGGTACTTCAGAGAGGTTATATATTATATGTCGGTGGAAACAGTTCGTTTTCAAGCGGGTGGGACATGCGGCTAAATGTGATTCTGTGAATGAAACCTCGTTCAACCCAGGTTGTTAACTTCATAATATATGGATTTACATTTGAAAGGTAAGGATCCAATATAAGCGAAAGACGAGTATAGTTGACGTGTTTATTGCTCCTAGGAACTTAAAAAATGTTAGTCAAAGTTCCTAAAATGAAGGAGAAGGAAGTTTGTACTAAATTTGTTGACGCATTCAAAGAACTTTCTTTCTCTCTTAGCATATATGCATACTATGTTGACAGTACGAATAGCAGAACAGTCAATAAAGCCACCTAGCTATGTTGAGGTCTCACTAAGATGCAGACGTTTTTTCTGGAGATGTAATTATCTCATTTCAGAACTACGCAGGACTGGGTACCTTTTATATATTCCCTTTTTCCTTATTCAACACTACAGGAGGTAAATTTTGAATGATTTTAACTAAGAGACCTTCGATAAAGGACTACTGGCAAGGAGCAATACTCGCATTAATGAGATCTACAAAGATAGTAAGAACTCTTAAGGTATTTGTCTGCAGCCTCTATGCAACAACTTATCAGTTTTATTTTATTTCTTACTGTATGGTGAAATCACCATACACTGGCCTTTCCTCAGTTTAATCAAAAAGCATTAACAATGCGCCTCTTCGTTTAAACAATTTTGGAATTCAACCGGCTCGGGGCACCTTATTATTGGGATGACAACTAAGTCATTGCCGTCTTTGTTGACGGATTCACTCTATACTTTCTTTTATTTTGTTAACGTGGCCAGAGCATCTAACCTATATTTTTTTCCTACTGTATGGGCTTCTAGGTTAATTAGTAAAAATTTTTTTTAGTTCTTTAGTTTTGTTTTATCCCAATTTAAAAATGAAAGAACAGGACGTGCACTTCCGACACATTTTACTGTATTACTTCCGAAAAGGCAAGAACGCATCGCAAGCACAAAAGAAGTTATGTGCCGTATATGGAGATGAAGGGTTAAAAGAAAGGCAGTGCCGAAATTGGTTTGAAAGATTTCGTTCCGGTGATTTTTCATTGAAAAATTCACAACGATCTGGCCGCCCAGTCGAAGTGGATGAAACCCATATCAAGGCCATTATCGATTCAAATCGTCACAGCACAACACGAGATATTGCAGAGAAGCTCAATGTGTCGCATACATGCATTGAAAACAAATTAAAAACCCTTGGTTATGTCAAGAAACTTGATTTATGGATCCCTCACCAGTTAAAGGAAATTCATTTGACGCAACGGATTAGCATCTGTGATTCGCCGCTACTGAAACGCAATGAGAATGAGAATGATCCATTTGTGAAGAACCTAGTTACTGGCGACGAAAAGTGGATAGTTTATAACAATGTTACTCGCAAGAGATCATGGGTGAAGCAAGATCAACCAGCCCAAACAGTATCAAAAGCAGAGATTCACCAAAAAAAGATTATGCTGTCAGTCTGGTGGGGGGATCACAAAGGAATTCTGTATTTTGAACTCATGCCGCAGAACCAAACGATAGATTCAAATGTGTATGTTGAAGAACTGGAAAAACTGAAAGAAGGATGCAATTGAAGATAAGCGGCCGGCATTATCAAATCGGAAGGGTGTTGTTTTCCATCATGATAACGCAAGGCTCCACACATCTTTGGTTACTCGGCAAAAATTATTGGAACTGGGTTGGGATGTTTTGTCACACCCACCATATAGCCCTCACCTTGCGCCTTCGGATTACCATTTGTTTCGTTCCATGCAAAACTCTTTAAATGGTAAAATTTGTAACAACGCGGATGATGTCGGATCACACCTAATTCAGTTTTTTAATAGCAAAGATCAGACATTTTACGAATGGGGAATTTTTACTCTGCCAGAACGATGGAAAAAGGTCATCGACAAAAACGGCCAATATCTAATTGAATAAAGTTATATTTTTAAACAAAAATTCCGATTTTGCCTTCTTATTTGAAATCAGCAATGACTTAGTTGCCAACCTAATATAACACTCTTTAACCCTTCAAGGCACTTAAGGCCAAGCGGTCCTCTTTCAAAAGAAGCCAATTTGGTATAAGCCTAGTAATAGAAGGTGCTATTGCCGTTTGAAATACGTTCAATGCGTCTACAGCCTTATCACATTAGCGTCAGTTTGGTGTGAGGCACACGTGAGGGCGGTTGGACGAATTTTTCAAAAAAATAAATAATTCGGGCGTTAAAGGGTTAACAAAACTCACTTTTTTTCACTCCACGAAGTGGGAATTTTCTAGGAACTATACAAAATACTGCTATGCTTAAGCTTATTGAAATATATTTGAAGATTGGTAATGAGCTAACGCAATTATTTTATCACTTCATAAACTCTTTAACCATCTCAATCGAAAAGTCAGAAGGAATAATATTTGACTTTGAAGTGATGTAAGACCAAGTATTTCCGTCACATCAATATAGCAATCACTTGAATTAGGTGCTTTATTTACCTTTTTCTTTATGTAATTGAAACTCTATTTTGTGGAATTAGAATTTTAGTTTAGATTCGACTTATTCAGATCTTAATTTATGGTTTTGCCTAATTAGTATAATAGCACGAAATATGAGGTACTGACGCGATTTCGGTTGAATTAATAGAATTTGAATTCACCTTATCTGATGCATAGTTGATCCCAACTTTGCTAGTAAATACACGTCACCAACTCGTCTCAACTCTTTCATTTAAGTTGGAGAACCCTTATCTAGTCATCACTATGATGATCTTTCATCGAGATTTAAGGGAGCTTTCGTAGAATTCTCTCTGTAATCATTTGGGTGGCGGAAATAAAATTTTAAATGCTCAAAGCACAAAATGGCAAGACGATTGTTTGAAGCGGGTTAAATTGATAACTGAAGAGCACCAATCGCATCAGAAAAGCCACTTTCTAATACTCAACGAAGATGAACCTAAGGATATTCCCATAGAAAGTGGCGATCTGACCAGATTGCCTATATCGGGAGGTTAGCATCAAATTTGAAACTGGATAGTCCCAAAGGAATGGAAGAGTGAACGTGGAAAGTAGCAGAAAGATGAATTGAGAATGGAAAGAAAATAATAGCGGTGCTAAGGGTGTGGAACTAAATGTGAGTTAAACAGGTTCAATTAGGGTCTATTGAGACAACTAGGGGATCATGCTATCTTTGTTCTTCAGATGTACAGGCAGAAAAGGATCGCCTTCTTTTTAAATTGGATTTAAATTATTCATCATGGTAGAATGCCGCAGTTCACAGACGTGATAACATAACTCCTCTCAGCCCCTTCACTGACAATACGTATTTAGTACTTGGGGCGCTTTTTTTCCTTGAATCTAAAACTGCTGATCCAAGTCTTTCGAATGACTGGTGAAAAGGCAATATGAGATTAAATGTACGCTCTGATTAAATTATCTCTCATAGTGTCCCCCATTTGTTTTAGCTAAATTGGGGATAAAATAAACGCAGAAGCTAGTTGAAATCTTGGAGAGGGAATAAGTAAAAAATATGCTGACTCTTGTCAACATTGAGCTCACAGCGCTTAGGAAGTGACCATCACTAATCTTCCTCGTCGACCTTGTATTCTACATACGAGAGGAGAAAGTAAGCGGCTTTGTCAGATTCCATTACGACTCTCGATTGAAAAATGTAATAAGTTAAGTGATTTCCAGTATGATATTTTATCTAACACGGATTTTATTAAAGGTCGACGAATATTGTTATTATAAAAATTGTAAATATTTGACTGATTCAGTCCAATACGACAAAACTGATTGAAGGACTTAAACTGATTGAGCCTCAACGCTGGCTCGACCAAATTTGGCTCCCAATGGTGCTCTTTGATAAAAACGGTATTATTTTAATTGGCATATCAATCAAGTGGAATAGTGATAAAAATACCATCCTGAATATATTTATGGGCATGAATTAATCACGATTTAATTTAATCGAATTTGTGGATAGCACAATTAAAATACATGGTGAATTTTGAATTTTAATGACTTTCTTAATATAATGAAATATGTGTGTTTGTTTACCCTGTTAAAGAAAAAATATATTATTATTAATATTTAACTATAGGAATAATAAATTTGAGGTTTTTTATCCTGAATTTTGATAGGATAAGAAGAATGGTAAAAATGGACCAATCAAAAACTTAATTGACCGAATGGAGCTATTGGTAAGTCGTGCGCACTAAACAGGAGTTGAGCCAATCATCATTCAGATACTGGCACTTACGGGGAGTGACTTACAAAACATGTGTCGTTCGTTCATTTTACTAGCAAAAATCATGCCGGGCGGGCCTGAATCATTCCTTATTGAAAATATTCTCAGGAAAAGTGATGACACTAACGAACGAAGTACCATGGACATATCTGCATTGGAGTCTTTCAACGATGTTGCATGCAATCCACATAAGCCTCCTTCGGATAAGGAACATACTAAAGACAACTCATCCTCCAACTCTGGATCGACGAACCTCTCTCCACCTCAGCCTGGTAGTTATAGAAGTGAAAGCAGTGAGGAATCACCTGCACTGAAGTTTTCCACTGAGTCAATAATGATGTCTTCGCCTGATATAAAACGAAATCATGACTATTTATTCCCCATTGATGAAAGTGGTGAGCAGAGAAGAGGTTGAATGCTGGTCTATAAGGTTAAAATATGTAGTAACAAATATGTGTGTTTATTTCAGTTTCACCTCCGAATCAATTAACTTTTCCATGGTTGCATTTGCCACCAGTTTTGAGTGGATTTTATCAAGGAGGACTTACTGCAACACCCTCTGCACATTTTCCATCTCCTCCAACACCGAATGATGATGAGAGAGGAGAAATTATTGAGTATTCTCCCCATGACTTTGGTTCTACTCCTACACAAGAAAATCGGCCCAAAAGAGCTCGAATAACCTTTTCTCCCTATCAAGTTAAAGTTCTCCGAGCCAAGTATAATCATAAGAAATATCTCTCTAATGCTGAACGCTCTGAGTTAGCGGGAGATCTGGGCCTCAGTGATCAGCAGGTAAGCTTGTTTTAAAAAAATACTTAATAGACCTAAGTGGGAAATGGAGAGATGGGTGACGAAGGGGGGGGGGAGATTTTTCACGTTGACCCTCCTTTGGGGTGTCTTATTAGCTGTTGAGTGTATGCGTGTGCGCCCATCATCCATAAAAAGATATAAGAGGTTAAAGAGGTCATCATTTTGAGGCATTAGTCAGATCGTAAAATATGTTCACTAATTACTACTTTTCCACCCCTTCGAAGACGAGACACTATCATGCGGAAGGTGGGAGGGGGGGGGGGGGGAAGAGGTGTTGTGACGAAGTGACTAATAGGTGCTTTCTACTCTTCCTAGGTAAAAATCTGGTTTCAGAATCAACGGTACAAGGAAAAGAAAAGGCTGGATAGAGAGAAGGAGAACGCCTTTAGCCAAACAAATTTTGACCCGCCTCTTCGGATGCAGCCATTGTCACCGCTGTCACCATTATCCCCACTACGCTCGGGATTTTTGAATAATCGAAGGGATAATCATTCTCTACCGTTCTCCTTCCCACCACCGCCTCCACCTCCACCTCAATTTCTCGCCCAAATTATTTCAAGGGCATATTCACATACAGCACAGTTTGCTGGAATGATGACTGCGCAGCCTAACTCTATGGATCCTTCACAGGACACATCTTACCAACAGGAACAGGAGAAGGACAAGCCCGGGACATCTAAATCCTAGTGAATGACTGAAATCAGAACAGATGTACATTTACAGAATTATAATTGTAAAGTTACTTTATAGGGCAAATCTAATATGCACGAAATTAGTGTAAATGACCTTGATAAGAAGAATTAAAAACTTCCAATGTTATTTAACGATTTTGCAAATAAAGTATTGACTCTATTTGAGGATAAAGTTAGGAAGAATATCTTTTTTCATTTGCTATTGGCTTCTGGTAATGTCTTAACTTTAATTAAGCTTTTATTACACTTTATTATGTTACTGATGTACAATAACAGAGGCGATCCAATGAAAATAGGATAGTTGAAATGATAGACATAAACACTGGATAGGATCCGATAATGTGCAATAACTAGTAGTCAACATGGGGTTGAGAGCCATTAAATTCGGGTGACAATAGTCCTGCTTCACTCGACTTCTGGATTATTGATTTATTTCCATTCGCCTCACAATACACCAATTTTTGATGCCTGATATTCTTTACTTAATCGAATTACTAAATTAACTGCATGGTTAATCGAACTACTTCGGCTCATGTGTACCTTCAGACAGCCATTAATAAAGTAGCTGAGACCGGAATGCAGGACAAAAGCAACAGAGCTCCCAGCAAAGAGAGTAGGTTTAAGTGTTGAATCTCGATTACTTCAATTCAAAGCTGTATTCATGGAGTCAGGGCTTTAAAATTTCCGGCATTATGTTTATAAACACAAAAAACCCATCTAAAGAGAATGTATTCTCGAAAACTTCGATAAAGTTTAATTGGGCACAATTATTGCATGAAGCTGTCAGCAGGCTGTGATTTGTTAAGTTGTGCTATTTTCTGGTAGCCAAGTACAACTTTTGACAAGTGGGGCTAATGAGCTCGGAAATGTCATACTTGTCAGAAATATTATACACAAATGCTTTAATTCTCAACCCATCACGTCATTTCAATTGTATTCGCACCTGTCAGTGATGGTCATTGAAGGTTAATCGCTCAGTTCTGAATAGCTCCCAGTGATTACAGGTTTCTCTCAAATTATTTCAAGATTGTTGAAAGTAAAACACTCTGCGCTTTACCAATATTTGCTACATAGAAGGGGTTAAATTTTTAATTTTCTGTGCAAATTCGATTCCGATTTATAGTCAATTGATTAGTGACTAATAGAGATCTATTTAAATGTAATACACAATAGGCTACTAAGATGACCAGCAGAGTAACTTTACACACTTTATGAAGAGGTTTTAATCTCCATGCGTAGACTTTCATCTGGTTAATAGATCATTTCCTGGTGCTAACGATATGCCGATAATGCAAGACCTGTTTTTTTGGTAATGTTTAAGAAATCTGCCATAAATAATTAGACCGTTCCATTTACTAGTTTCAGCCGTATTATTATTTAAATTTCAAATCCAGCAACAGGTAAGGCAAGGCAGTAATTAAGTTATCTCTTTCATGGAAGTTGTAGATATTTCACCTCATTGGTTAATGACCTCGTGGGCACCGTGACCACCCCCTAGAAAATGATTTCAACTAGAAATGCATACGACTGACCATTTTCGGTCATCCCACCTCAGAGACAAATTTATTAGACTTGTTACCACCTTAGGTCATACTTGATGTGCGGTTCCTCACCTTAAGGAAGTTATTTTTTCAAAAAAGATCCTTTTTTTGGTAAA